CCATCTTATTTATATCCCTCTTTTCCTCTACCATTCCTCCTCCTCTTTTCCCTTGCTTTGGTACCCCTCTTAATCCTGCAGAGTATTATCCCTAGTATCAATACCCCTACCCCCCCCTCCCCCCCCCCCTCCCCCCCTCCCCTTTTTAGGCGACTGTTATACCTACTATTCATTTGTGGGGACCCACTCCCCACCTTTGAATTGTTACTAAGGGTCACAAACTCCGCCCATGAAACGGCTCCTCCTCCCTCCACCTCCCCAGTTCCCTCCATTCTTTTATTTACTCATTATATTTCTAAGTGCCTCTTGACACACTACTAAATATCGTTCTATAAGGAAGACTAAAGGGCCAGGAAGAAGAGAGAGAGACACGAGAAAGAGAGAGAGAGGAGAGAAAAAAAAATGGGGAACTTTATCTCATAACCCTCTCTTCCCCCCCCCTACTTCATCTCTCTGGCAGACAGCCAGTCCTCTTGTCTCATTTTTCCTATCCCTCTCTCCTCTTCCTCCCATCCAACAATCTCCATTCTTTGTAACTTCAGTTTTTCACAAAAGTCTCTCAGGTCTTCCGGAAATCTCAAATAAGCTGTAACTCCATCTTTCCATCCAATTAAACACGCTGGGGTCCCCCATCTATAAAACACGTTCTTTTCCCTCATCTGTTCTAGAAGGGGTTTTTAAAGATCTCTTTCTTCACAGAGTCTCAGGTGTAAGATCCGCATATATCTGGATATCCATTTCTCCATAGCTAATTGCTGCTTTTCCTTTAATCTTTCTCCAGATTGCTTCTTTATCTCCATATTTGCTAAATTTAACAATTATATCCCTTGGTTTTTCTTTCCCAGTACCTTGTTGGCGCTTTCCTATTCTCATGACATCCTCCAAATTAATCACCTCTAAGGCAGGTCTGTCCATTATGGAGTTTAAGATTTTTCCTACTACTTCTTGCAATGTTTCCCCTTTTGTATTTTCTGGAACTCCTTTTATCCTAAGATTACTCCTCCTGTCCCAATTTTCTTGTACCTTCATCTTGTATATAATTTTTTTCTGTATTTTCCCCATGTTCTTTAATTTCTTTCCTACTTTCTCGATGTTTTGAGCCTGATTTTTACTTTTCTCCTCCATTTCTTCCACTCTCCTCAACACCTGCCCCATGTAATTTCGGATAGTTGCCATTTCTTGTTTTATTATTTTCTCTAGGTCTTTAAACATCTCTGCCATTTCTTTTTTATTTGGTACTTGTAGTACACTTTCATTCTCACTCCTCTCCATGGCTCCTATTGTTTGTTGACTACTAATATTTAGTCCCAGCGATAGTCTAGGACTACTTTCCAAACTAATGTCCCCTTCAGCTTTTCCGTTTTTCCCTTGAGATCTTTCTGGGGTTACTTTTCCCTGGGATGTATACTGTTTAATCGTTCCTGTTTGGGACCCTTTTGGCCCACTTCCTTTACTGCTTTTGTTCTTCATTTCTTTTCTTTTATGGGCCTTACTCTCCTTTATACATAGATAGTTCACATATATAAAAGGTCCCAACTTAGCCCAATCAATAACCGATTTTCCCCTCCTCTTTTAAGTTACTTAATCTTCTTTTCTTCCTTTTTCCTTCTCTCCTCTTCTGTTTTTTCAAATGCCCCAAAGGGAATCCCCCTTTTCTCCTCTTCACCCCTTATTTTCCTCAACAGCACTATGGGTCATTAAAAACAGTTCCAATCTCTTTCACTCACCCAAAATCACTTGTCCCTTGCTGTGAAGATGGTAGGGGTCTCCGAGCTCCACCTCCTCTGCACAGGTATCCAGCTCCACTGCACTTTGGGGGGATTCCACATGGCCACTTCTCTTTCCTTCTCAAATTCCTTGGATATCCTCCACAGAGAAACTCTTGCCAGGTCCACACCTCAATACTCAGCCAGCCAGGGATCCGACTAGGGCGCCGTATGCATGGGAAACAGCACACATAGGGAGCAGTATGCCTGGGGCAGAAAGCCGCCTTCTCCCTTTCTCCTCACACCGGCCGGCTTCCTCCGCTCCCAGTGCTCCTTTGAGGTTGGGCACGTGACCCAACCCGCTCTCTTCTGATTCCCGGCAACCCGGCTCTTCGGTCCGCCGGACTTCGGGCGGACTTCTCCCCCCTCGTGCCAGCCCAGCGCCTCCGCTCTCCTGCCGAGCACCCCCGGCGCTCAGGTACAGAGTCTCTGCGGTGGGATTTACTTTTTCTCCATTTAGAGGGCCCCTGGGGAGGTCAGTGGAGGAGCTTTGTTGATAGCTCCTACCCCAAGCCCTCAGCCGCCGTTCAGGCTCCTCCCTCCAGCCTATTTCCTCTGGATTCATCATTAAGGCTTTTGATACCTTTATTTATATAGGTATTTTCCTTACATTTTTATATTTTAAGACTATCCAGATCTTTAACCATTTGCCGCCCACCCTATGGCCGAATGGCGGGCAGCAAATGTCATCAGCGTTCCGGGTGGATGCCAAATGGCGCCCTCTCGCACATGCGCAGATTGCAGCGGCGCGATCTGTCACTGGCCGTGTACCTCGGACATGGCCGATGACAGATCTGAGTATCGGCCCCGTTTCCGGTACCATATGACCAATCACAGCAGGTCACATGACAGTTGTATACAATGGATGGCTTCATTCATGCCATCCATTGTATACTAGTGTCTAGCTGTGAATGGTCACAGCTAATCACATGCACATGTCATGTGATTAGCTGTGGCCAAATCACAGCTAAGCACAAAAAAAAAAAAAAAAAAAAACCTGAATGAATCGATGTCATTCAGGTAAATGCTTATAGCAAAGTAAAACAAAGTAGTACAATGTTACTATGAAATATGAAAAAAAATCTTAAAAAAAAGAAAAAAATTAATAAAAAATAATATAAAAAATATAAAATATATATATATATTTTTTTTCATACTGTCACCAGTCAGTGTCCCTGATCACTGCCATTCCAGTTGTATGCTGACGCTGTACTGCACTGGTGACAATATGTAAAAAGAAAATAGTGAAACTAATTTTTTGAATTTTTTCATTTTCCGAAAAATTATGTAAAAAAAAACAACTTCAAAAAACTCGCCATGCCTCTTATGAAGTACGTCGGACTGTCTACTTTGCAAAAAGGAGTCATTTGGGGGATATCTGTACTGTTCTGACATTCTTGGACTTCAAGAAATTAGATTGGCTGTCAGTGCTTCAGGATTGATCAATATTCAGATCTATACCATAGTTTGTGAACTCTATAACTTTCCTACAAACTAAAAAATACATCCTAATTTGGGTTATTTTCACCAAAGACATGTAGCAGAATACATCTCGGCCTAAATTTATGAAGAACAATTATTTATTTGCAAACTTTTATAACAGAAACAAAGAAAACCTTTTTTTTTTTTTCTAAATTTTTGGTCTTTTTTTGTTAATTTAGCAAAAAATAAAAACCCCAGCGGTGATTAATTACCACCAAAAGAAAGCTGTAGTTGTGTGAAGAAAATTATAAAATTTTAGTTTGGGTACAATGTTGTATGACTGCGCAATTGTCATTCAAAGTGTGAGAGCGCTGAAACCTGAAAACTGGCCTGGGCAGGAAGGTGTAAAATTGCCCAGTATTGAATTGGTTAATAACCAATTTTTTAAATGTATTTATATATGAACTATCAACATTTTTAGGACAAAAGGTGGATTTATTCCTTAAATTGCTGTGTAAGAATGTAGAAGATTGGTTTGAGTTACTATTTCCAGACGGATTTTGAGCATAATATTTTTTAATGTGTAATTTTCTAATCAATTTTTGTAAACTGACATATGTTTCAAACTTGTTGAGTCCCTTTGTTGGGACAAATTTTAAACCTTGGTCCAGTACATATATTTCTTCCTGTTTAAGAGAAATTCCACTTAAATTGAAAATCCCTTCTCCTTCTTATTTCGTATCCTTTTTTTGTTTGTGTTTTCTTCCTCCCCTTTTTCCTCTCTTTCTCCATTCTCTCTGTTGTGATTTTCTATTCCTGGGTCTAGGCAGTGGGGTGTATGATTCCTAAATGTGATACTAAAGGTCAATATCTGTTTTGTAGTGGAATGTTATGATTGAGGTGTATTTTTGTTAAAATTCACTGATTGATTATTATATTCATTTCTATATTCTGATGTGTGATGACTCCTGTAATCATTTCTGTATTCATTTCTATATTCAGGTACATATTGTCTCCCTTGATTGTAATAATTCTGTGGTCCTCTATGTTGATTTCCTCTATTTCTGTTTTTATAGTATGGTCTGCCTCTTGATTGTGGAAACGTGGGTGGACCTCTGTTATAATACAAAGGTGGTGGGACTCTGTGATAATTATTAAAATTGTTTGAATAATTTCTCCCATACTCCTCTCTTGGGTACTGTGGCGAAACATGTTTGTAATTTTGGTGAGGTATCCGAGGTGCATGGTCATTCTGTTGTACAGGTGTTCTATTATGTGACACTCTAGGTGTATAATGATTTACTTCTTTGGGTGCATTATTCTTAAAAACTATAGTTTTCCTTAATACTAGAGATGAGCGAATTTTTCAAAAATTCGATTCGGCTGATTCGGCGAATTCCAGGAAGAAATTCGATTCGATGCGAATTAATTCGCTACGAAGTTAACTTATAAAAAGGGTTTCTAGGCTTCAGAGAGCCTTTAAATTAGTGCAGAACACTGTACCTTTAATTTAAATGCCCTTGGAGATGAGGAAGGAGAAGGAGAAGGAGAAGGATGAGAAGAAGGAGAAGGAGAAGGATGAGAAGAAGGAGAAGGATGAGAAGAAGGAGAAGGAGAAGGAGGAGAAGGAGAAGGATGAGAAGAAGGAGAAGGATGAGAAGAAGGAGAAGGAGAAGGATGAGAAGAAGGAGAAGGATGAGAAGAAGGAGAAGGATGAGAAGAAGAGAGAAGGATGAGAAGAAGGATGAGAAGAAGGAGAAGGAGAAGGAGGAGAAGGAGAAGGATGAGAAGAAGGATGAGAAGAAGGAGAAGGATGAGAAGAGATGAGAAGAAGGAGAAGGATGAGAAGAAGGAGAAGGAGAAGGATGAGAAGAAGGAGAAGGATGAGAAGGATGAAGGATGAGAAGAAGGATGAGAAGAAGGAGAAGGATGAGAAGAAGGACAGTTCTGTGACAGTTTCTGTCTATTTCTGACAGTTCTGTGACATTCACTCCATACAGCGGTTTCAACCGCTGTATTGTGGGAATGTCCCAGAACTGTCAGAAATAGTCTATTTCTGACAGTTCTGGGACATGTATGGAGTGAATGTCCCAGAACTGTCAGAAATAGTCTATTTCTGACAGTTGTGGGACATTCCCTCCATACAGCGGTTTCAACCGCTGTATGGAGGGAATGTCCCAGAACTGTCATAAATAGTCTATTTCTGACAGTTGTGGGACATTCACTCCATACAGCGGTTTCAACCGCTGTATGGAGGGAATGTCCCAGAACTGTCAGAAATAGTCTATTTCTGACAGTTGTGGGACATTCCCTCCATACAGCGGTTTCAACCGCTGTATGGAGGGAATGTCCCAGAACTGTCATAAATAGTCTATTTCTGACAGTTCTGGTATTCACTCCATACAGCGGTTGAAACATTGTATCTATTTGTTTCCATAAATGACATTCTGCAGATACACTTAGAGGAGCTCTGCAGATACACTTTTTGCCGGCTTGGAATTATTCTTATTTTCATCCTACTTCATCTTCTTCTTCTTCTTCATCCTCATCCTCATCCTCTTCTTCTTCTTCTGAGGATGAGGATGAAGAAGAAGAAGAAGAAGAAGAAGTAGGATGATGAAAATAAGATTAATTCCAAGCCGGCAAAAAAAGTGTATGTGCAGAGCTCCTCTAAGTGTATCTGCAGAGCTCCTCTAAGTGTATCTGCAGAATAGAGGAACTCTGCACATACACTTTTTTGCCGGCTTGGAATTATTCTTATTTTCATCCTACTTCTTCATCCTCATCCTCATCCTCTTCTTCTTCTTCAGAGGATGAGGATGAGGATGAGAGAAGAAGAAGAAGAAGAAGAAGAAGTAGGATGAAAATAAGATTAATTCCAAGCCGGCAAAAAGTGTATGTGCAGAGCTCCTCTAAGTGTATCTGCAGAGCTCCTCTAAGTGTATCTGCAGAATAGAGGAACTCTGCACATACACTTTTTGCCCAGCTTGGAATTATTCTTATTTTCATCCTACTTCTTCTTCTTCATCCTCATCCTCTTCTTCTTCTTCTGAGGATGAGGATGAGGATGAAGAAGAATAAGAAGAAGAAGAAGTAGGATGAAAATAAGATTAATTCCAAGCCGGCAAAAAGTGTATGTGCAGAGCTCCTCTAAGTGTATCTGCAGAGCTCCTCTAAGTGTATCTGCAGAATAGAGGAACTCTGCACATACACTTTTTGCCGGCTTGGAATTATTCTTATTTTCATCCTACTTCTTCTTCTTCTTCTTCTTCTCTTCATCCTCATCCTCATCCTCTTTCTTCTTCTTCTGAGGATGAGGATGAAGAAGAAGAAGAAGAAGAAAGAAGTAGGATGAAAATAAGATTAATTCCAAGCCGGCAAAAAGTGTATGTGCAGAGCTCCTCTAAGTGTATCTGCAGAGCTCCTCTAAGTGTATCAGCAGAGCTCCTCTAAGTGTATCTGCAGAATAGAGGAACTCTGCACATACACTTTTTGCCGGCTTGGAATTATTCTTATTTTCATCCTACTTCTTCTTCTTCTTCTTCTTCATCCTCATCCTCATCCTCTTCTTCTTCTTCTGAGGATGAGGATGAAGAAGAAGAAGAAGAAGCAGAAGAAGTAGGATGAAAATAAGATTAATTCCAAGCCGGCAAAAAGTGTATGTGCAGAGCTCCTCTAAGTGTATCTGCAGAGCTCCTCTAAGTGTATCTGCAGAATAGAGGAACTCTGCACATACACTTTTTGCCGGCTTGGTATTATTCTTATTTTCATCCTACTTCTTTTTCTCTTCTTCATCCTCATCCTCTTCTTCTTCTTCTGAGGATGAGGATGAAGAAGTAGAAGAAGAAGTAGGATGAAAATAAGAATTCCAAACCGGCAAAAAGTGTATCTGCAGAGCTCCTCTATTTCTGACAGTTCTCTGACAGCTTCTTCACATGTACAGCGGTTGAAACATCTGTATCCTAAATGGAAACTAATAGATACAATGTTTCAACCGCTGTACATGTGTTCCTTCTGTCAGAGAACTGTCAGAAATAGCGGAGCTCTCTGCAGGGACACTTTTGCCGGCTGATCGGGAAAAATCCGATTCGCGCACCCGAAGTAGGCAAATATTCGGATTCGACGTGAATCAAATTTTTCCTGAAATTCGTATCGAATTCCGGTTCACCTGGTTCGATTCGCTCATCTCTACTTAATACTATCCATATTTTTGTTTGGGGTATTGTCTGTAGATTTAGGTTCATTATTTGTGGTTGACTCTTGCCACTTGTAAATTTGTTTGAGATTATATTCTTGTGTCACCTTTTGATATTTTTTCTTTTTTCTATTTTTAATTTCTGTGTCTTTATTTTTAACATTCTTACTTAATTCATTCATATATTTGTTAAAGTCTGGGTGGTCTTTAAATGATTCCACTTTCTCTTTGTAGTCTTTCAAAATGAATTCTAATTTATGCATTTTTCTTTGTTTTCTCTTAATGAGGAAAACAATCAATTCCATACATTTCTCACTAAAAAAATTGTACCATTCTGTAATATCCTCCGCTTCAAGTAGCCCATCTGCTATGGGTAAATCCCAATCTTAATTTTTTAGGGATAATTCTATCTTTTAGATATTTTTCTAATGTTGTTAAATCCCACCAAGTACTTAACTTTATTTCTATATTATGCATGGTTTTCCTGAATATATTTTGTATATTGATATCTGCTTTTTCTTCCTTCATAAAATACATTATCTAAATCAATATTCCTATCTTCCAAAAAGGAAAAAACCTCCATCTTGTCTACTAACAAGTATATGAGTGGATAAATCAACAAACTGAGTAAAAATTACTTGTGAGCCACTGGAGTGTGTGTTCTAAATCTTTATACAAAACACATTTGTAGTGTATAAAATATGGGTGCTGGCTTCCTTGCTCACCCTCATATATGTGAGTCAAATATTGACAAAAAAGAATATAATATAAGGTACCGCGCTCTATTTAGGACTAATTGCTTACTCACTTATGGTGGTGACTATGTACTCTCTACAGTATAGTCATAAGCAGTTTATATTATGATGAATGAGATAGCATATCTCTAAAGTTAATACTAAAGAAACTAATATATTAAATGTTGTGATATTATCCGTGAAAATCAGAAGAAATAAAATAAATATATTCACCTAATTAATTGTGAAGAAATTCAAGTGTATTAATTGTTAAACAGTAGTATGGGTATGAAAATAAATATATGAGGTACTGAGGAGAACACATTTTATAGGAGTGGATATATTGGTGGTTTAGGTATTGATTAAATATTAGTATATCAAATAAGAATATCTATTATCAATCATATATTCATTTAACAGGATACATGAATATAACTAGAATTTATATTGGGTGTTTCCTTGTATTTGTACAATTATTTTTTTATAATATACTATTTTAATTTTATTTTAATTTTTTTTTTCAATTTCATTTTAATTTTATATATATTTATTATTTGTAATATGATTGACTACCCTACTCTGATATTAAATCGGCTCTGTGGTTTAGGGTAGTTTATAGTTAACAATGAAACAGTAATACAATGTATATTTATGTTTTTAAATTTATGTTTTTAAATTTATGTTCAAATATACCAGACCTCCCTAGTAGTGTCCATCACACTCACTGACACATCGACCACAGGACACTGGGGCATACAATGTATGCACTATGCAACATTGTTTAAATTGTATCATTATTATCTAAATGCACAACATGTCAGCTGCATTTCCCTAGGTATAGAGAGCTCAACCCCATAAAGATGGCAGAATATATTAAGTCTTCAAGAAAATGGCGCCATATGGCTATTTAAGGAGTCCAGCTAAGGTGCTTGTCTCACTACATCCCCCAGATGAAGCTACGAGTCTCTGTAGCGTAACGCGTAGGGTAGGGGCAGAGACGTCACGTCACCAGTGATCCGACTAGCCACACGGCGAGTATTGTCAGTGTGTGCTGACACACTAAACAGGCAGGTCATCACCGCTTGCAGTGGCTTTTTATACAAAGCGTGATTAATCCTTTTAAATGTGAGTGCATATTGGGCACTTAATAAAATCCACTGTTTATCTATGATAAGACACTATGTCATTTTTCTTTTTACATGGCTAAAATGAGGAATAATGGAGAGCAGGAATAAGGAGTGCTCCAAGGAGGGAGAGGTCTGCCTGTCATTAGGCTAACACTGAAGTATCTTCTCTACACAGACTACACCCATAAATCAGCAGGCTGTTTGGGAAGAGAGCACATCGCATTAACAATTTTGTTGAACTCTGCACAAAATTGTTGAAAAAAATGTTTTCATTGGAACTTTTGTTCACATTATATTTTCATCATCATTATTTATTATATTATTATATATATATATATATATATATATATATATATATATATATATATACATATTTTTTATTTTTCTATATACATTTTTTATCTTTATATTTTTTCTCTTTTTTTATTATTGTTTATAATGAATGAGCATATATTTTAATTAGTACACATATTTTGAATTTCTTCAAAATTAATTAGGTGAATATATTTATTTTATTTCTTCTGATTTTCACGGATAATATCACAACAATTAATATATTAGTTTCTTTAGTATTATTAACTTTAGAGATGTGCTGTCTCATTCATCATAATATAAACTGTTCATGACTATACTGTAGAGAGTACATAGTCACCACCATAAGTGAGTAAGCAATTAGTCCTAAATAGAGCGTGGTACCTTATATTATATTCCTTTTTGTCAATATTTGACTCACATATATGAGGGTGAGCAAGGAAGCCAGCGCCCGTATTTTATACACTACAAATGTGTTTTGTATAAAGATTTAGAACACACACTCCAGTGGCTCACAAGTAATTTTTACACAATTTGTAGAATATGGAATGATCGAAACACATCAGATTTTCTTACTTTTCTGTGTGGTTTCATATTTTTGTATTAAGAGTTTTCTTGTAAGAATACTTTCAAAGCAATATTCTTTTCAGAAATCATGTATTTAACATTACAATGGAAATGTGTATGTAATAAAGTTAATAAAAACCTTTTTTAACCAAATGTCTTTTTCAATATATGTATGATCCTATTGCTGCATTAAAGTCCCACTGTGGGTTTTTTGGGTACAGGATAGATCATCTATTGCTCTGGGGAAGGTAGTTCGACTCCTGAAAAGCGTTAGCACTTTACCCAAGGACCTATGCTGTTCATGACTGGCATCTTTTGAC